TCTCCACAATTTCCTATTTTTTATCGCCTTTACTAATGTTTGTCTCCTTACTATCGCATAACGTCGATGTCCGAATATCAACTTACTCTAGTTCGTTAAATATGTTTCTCTTTGTTTTCCTCGGCTTTTCTTACCTTCGGTGTGTCTTGTGAGTATCAAATTAGTCAAGCCTTCTTTCCTCATTATGTTTACCAGAAATTTAAACTCTCACATTCTGATAATATGTATTAAAGCTGTTTTATTTCTATTTTCCTTAAAACTTTCTTTTTGCCCATTTGCTCCGTCGCTGGTATTCTTAGCAACCATATGTAGAACAGACAAAATAAAGAAGTCGATTTTGATTGGCTGAGCTAGCGTGGGAAAGGAGATAGATAGAGAAAGTTTTTTTTTTTTTTTTCAGTGAGTTGTTTCTTAACTGTCGCGCAATGTAGGCGTGGTCTCTTTCATGGCTGAAAACGCTTGCCAGTGGAGTGAGAACGTCTCCACTGGATAGATAGAAATGTACATATCGACGAGATTAACAAATAGTTATGTTAAAATTATTCCAGTGACAAAGTCTTTCCACCTTGATCCAAAACAACTAGCGATCACCAGTCGAGAGAAGGCGAGAAAGAGAAGATATATGAGTAAATTGGCGCCAATCACAATACCAACCCACACCATTTTGGCGCGGGGAGGGGCTGACTAGATAATAATAAATCTGGATAGAATGTCTTGTCTCTGCGGATAACCTATAGGTTACATAAATCCGGTGAGAAAACGTAACCCTAAAGATCATAGAACACGAATAAATAACATTTTACGCTGTCTTAAAAAAACCCAAAACGTATATATACGTTTACAGCAGTCAATATAATTTTTTTTTTAAGTTATAAGTACGTCAACAGCAGTAGAATTTATTAGACTTGGGTGTGGTCATTTCTCATAGATTGTCGGAATGCTGTGTTGAGTCAAACCCTTTCATGGTATCTCTTTAGGCATACTCATTTCCTCTCCAATGAATACGTGATAAATTTTACTTGATGATATCAACAGATGGATTGCCTTACAACGCGAAAGTATACCAAATTGTTTACATAAATCACTCATCAGATTTTGTTTGTATGGCAATGACATATTAGTCAAGTGCAGAACGGCTCCCGTCGCTGCTAATAAAGAGAGCATGTTTAAGCTTGTGGCTCGGCTTCAGGAAGGTTTGTAATCTTGGAAATACTTGTAACAGCTAAGTACTGAGGTTGTATTATATAAAAGGTTGAATTAGATAGATAGCTAACATTATAGTGTAATGACTTAACATATAAATCCACGTCCCTATCAGTCAAGCCAACTACGTGACCGTCCAGGCTGATTTGAGTCTATGTGTTGTCTTACATTCGTCTTGGAAGACACATACATATTTTCCAGGGTGTTTTCAGGAAATAAAGTGCATCTTGTAAGCCTGAAAACATGGTACCATTTATGGAAAAAGCATAAAGGAGTTACATTATGGTAGTGGGAAAGTGACTGAAGCGGAGATGTCAGGTCAGGACTAAATAGATAACAACTTGATGTGATGATTTACTAGTTTCACTGTTGAAAAAAAAACAAAAAACAAGGAGTCGATTAAACTCTTGTACACAATAACATTTGATGATAATTTCCAGAACAAGAAAAAAGTTTGTGATACATGTTACAGCCTGGTGGTAATCGATATTTTCACGATATAAGCGTGTGACCAAACCTACACCATCAAGATCAAGAGCAGAAAGACTCCAGCCGCTGCTAGTAAAAAGAGCATGTTTAAGATTGTGGCTCGGCTCCAGGAAGGTTTATAGTCTTGGAAATAATTGTAACAGCTATGTACTGAGGATGCATCATATAAAAGGCTGAATTAGATAGCTAACATTATAGTGTAATGACTCAACATACACATCCCTGTTTAACCAAACATGCTTGTATCTATATATATATATATATATATATATATATATATATATATATATATATATATATCGTAAACTTGTTTCCCATCAAGAATTTATTCAAGCAATATTTATTAAATTCAAGCGATACGTTCAGTTTAATTTTTCAAGTTTATATGATGTCGCACAATTGGATTTGTGGAATTTTTTAAAGTCCATGTTTTTTACGGCCATTTCAACTCATTTCTGTACGATGCACATATATTTTAAATTGAAATGGAAAATCCTTAAGAAATATATCAGGCTAAAAACAATGCTGTTATATTTTGGTTCTTGATAAAGACAAAGACATTCGAAAATACTCGATAAAAATGGTCTTTGAATAGCTCTTCCATGAATCAGATTACGTGATGAGACTATCCATTCTTTCCCTGTCTCTGTCTCAGTCTCTCTCTCTCGATATATATATATATATATATGGCATAAAAACCTTAGATTTTGCTGACTATACCAACAAAGACATTTCGATTTCATTTTTGCCTTGAATATTTTTTCCAGTTGTCATTTTATACCAATTTGTCTTGTCCACAGAATTGATCTGGGAATTTAACTATATATATATATATATATATATATATATATATATATATATATATATATATATGTGAGTTGACAATGACAACATGGGACTTCTTGGTAAATTTCGATTTCTATTCTATGTAATTTATATGCCCTGTTATAATAAATACAATGGGCTCTTTTGTGCATTAGTTTTAATATTTTATATGATGAGGATTCACTTGGATTATGTAATCAACGGATTACTACCTGTATAAACACATACACACACGAACACACAGACACACATACACACACACACACACATATATATATATATATATATATATATATATTATAAATTGATTTAAAATATTCGCTTGAGGATGAAATGGAACTAATGTCTTTAATTTAATTACAAAATTAAATTCCATTTTTGAAACATGGTTAGAACTGAGTCTGTCTATATTTCTGAGATGAGGTATTATGTACAGTATTTACATTAGTCGGACTATTGTCCTCATCATTGTCGCCATATTGTCACAACGTTTCGGACGTTGTACGCTCCGGCCTTCTTCAGTTGGTTGGAATTTCGAACTGAACCCTTTATTTGGCTCACTGGGGTAGACTGTTCTAGTTCCACGTGCCATGTTTGATGGATGTCAGTTATCCTGCTAATTTTTTAAAGTTTTCCACTGCCTTAACCAGGTATTGAACTCACCTTCTTTGGGTCTGTCACTGGATCTAACCTTGAGGACACATGACACAGTGGATAAAGGCGTTGGTTAGATCCATATATATATATATATATATATATATATATATATATATATATATATATATATATATATATATATATATATAAAGATTATATAATTCGCCGTTCTTATTGATATTTTTTATTTTTACAAAGCAGTGCTCAATGTAAATTTAGAGAGCATAAATATTATAAATTAACTGATTTGAAATATGGATTCTTCGCACAGTAATAAACATGTTTCAAAGACTGAAGCTAAAAACTTCAAATTTAATTATATAATTTGGCTTGAAGATGAAACAGAACTAATAAATTTAATTTAATTATATAATTTAATTTGAAGATTTTAGCTTCTGTTTTTGAAACATGGTTATTACTGTGTAGCGAAGAAACCATATTTTAAATCAGTTAACTTATAATATATATATATATATATATATATATATATATATATATATAGAGAGAGAGAGAGAGAGAGAGAGAGAGAAATTGTCTTACCTCGGAATCTGATTCAAGGAGGAACTATATATATATATATATATGTGTGTGTGTGTGCGTTTGTGTGTGGGTGTGTGTGTGTGTAGAAGGAGAGAGAGAGAAGAGAGGATAGTAATTACACTGGAAACAGTGAGGGTAAACATTTACTGCTTTGTTAGCTATTTCAGTGGGCTCTGCAAAACAAGTAATGAATAGAGGAACGCCATTTTCTGTTACATCGTCAAGCGTACAAGCATTGTAATGTTCAAATGTTTTTTCTCAAATATCTTACAACGTTCATGCTAGATATGTGGAGTATATTACAATATCCCGTGCCGGGTGATCTGGAATATTTCTAATCCTGTCGATTTGGTCATCATCAACATTTCCACTTCTGAACCTCGCGAGTACCCTCAGCTACGGCACCGTCTCCATAAACGGCGCTTTTTAACGTAAAACAATAGTTAAAATTAACAATTCCCACAATAATTGCATGACAGACACGTTGAAATATCCCCTTTCAAAATATGTATATATGTCATATATTTCAGCCACGTGCGAAACGAAATCACATATTCTATCGAACATGCTACGAATTTTTGTTCCACCTCAGTATTTATGGGAAATGAATAACTGACTAAAAAGAAGACAAAAAGAAACATTGAAATTAATATATAATGACAATCGGATAAGATTCCTAGTTACTCCGAAGACATTGACGGGACAGATATATTTAGTCAGAGGGCGAAAACGTCCATGTTTGGTTTGACATTTCAAAGCTGCCTATCGTGAAATTACATTATCTCACCTGTCATGTATTATTAGTGAGATCAGAATCGTGTTCTTTTCTCGACAGTTGATGGAACTTACAATGAAAGGAATTATGAATTCAGAATTATTCCTAAATAAGCGGAAGAAAGATGGCAATCTCACTCGTATTTAAATCCAGATATGCGGCAAAAGGTGTCAATTCTGAATATCCTCAGCAAATCTCTCGCAGAATAGCGTTGTCCGTTCAAATTGAGACTGTCAAATTGTGAAATCAGATTCAATGGATTTACAGAGACGAGGAACCGCCGCTGAATGGCCGGCTTTCGATCCGCGATTGTTCCGTGAAGAAGCAGGAGGAAAACGAAACATTATTTTTCAAAGAATTATTCAGACTATTGAAAATATTGTGCTGTTTTTTTTTTTTTTTTTTTTTGTTATGACACATGTCACTGACCCATTGAACATGTTTTTTTCAAGAAAAGAAAAAGAAAGAGAGAGAGAGAGAGAGAGGGAGAGAGAGAGCCTCGCTCTTTCATTCAGTTAACATATCACATCCTAATATTATAGTCTTTAACGTATTCAAAAATAAAAAAAAAAACTCCAAAGATTAAACCACAGTAAAAATATCTGCAGATTATCCGAAAATTTAGAAGTAATTATTTCTAGGATCGCCAAATGCACATAACAATAAAAAAAAAAACCCTTTATTATACGTTTTACCAGTTTGTGACTGGAAGGGACAATTCCAAGGAGGATATAAATCCAGGGAGAGCTCAATGTAGATTACAGAGCATTAAAATGATAATATGAAGACGGAGACTTTAATTCTCCATTTCGTTTATAATTTTTATTTCGTGAGCACCGAGATGTTCAGAATTCAAGGACTGACGATTGCGTCCAGCATGAAACAGCCTGTCGCCTATGTCTGTTGACTTCAATGTTCACTTTCATATTTATATTTACATACGCTCTATCTCTGATATTGAACACTTTATCCCATTAATGCAGCACACCTTATAACTATATTTCTTCATATATATATATATATATATATATATATCTATATATATATATATATATATTTTCGATGTATCGAAAGATAAATGATCGTCTAAGCGTGTATCACACATGACACATAACTAACTGACTGACTTTCCAGTCGAATCCATTACATTCACTTACGTGCTAATATCCTTGGGAAAGGTATGAATCCTCTTTTTCCCATGGGTAAATAGCAGGACAGATCGATTTCTATAGCCTTGGATGGCAACTGGTCTACCGCAGAAAGAAATAGCAACCTATTGCGGGAAAAAAAAAACTGCCTTGTCAGTCATGTATCGAAAGATACATGATTGTGAAATCGTGTATCACGCATGGCACATAACTGATATAAGAAAGAAATATTCTCCTATTTGACTAATATCCTATTATGGATATGATTATGTTCATGATATAATAACACCTAATTTACGGACTGTTTTTTTATGCTGACACTCTTTGTATTAGATAGATATAAATTAGATTCTTTAAGAATAGATGCAAATAATTATGTTGATGTAATGTTTTTTGCATGTGTTTATAGTTGGTAATAATATTATTATTAAGCTTCCAAAGTATTTTCTCCTTAAATAATTATGTCCTTTTTTTTAATTACGGTGGCATTAGTAAAATAAAAGTTATGGTCAGCGTTGTCCCTCTGTTATATGAGATTTAGAAATTTAGCTTAATTTCGAACCTGTCTTGAGTTCGTAGATGCGGGCATTTAGATCACGTGATGTCTCCCCTACATAAATATTTTCGCATTGTAAATCATTTATTTGATAAATCCCGTTATTTGAATTGATTTTTGATTTATTTTTCATCCTAATCATGTCTCTGATTGTATTGGCGGTGGTGATAACGACCCTAATATTAGGGATATGACAGTTTAATAAAAAGAGTTTGGGAGGGGAAGTTTATGAATTTTGTGGACTTTTTTTAGAAGTGTTATTGTCTGGTCCTGTTGACTTTGTGCATTTTGTAAGGTCGATTTTTAGCGTTGACGATGAAATGACGTGGGTAGTGAAGAAGTTTGAATATCTGTCTATATCTCTGAGATGAGGTATTATGATTACTTGCATTATTTACATTATTCGGACTGTTATCCTCATCTTCATTGCCATATTCACAACGTTTCGTTTAGTGTACGCTCCAGCCTTCTTCAGATGATTGGATCTCTGAGATGAGGTATTATGATTACTTGCATTATTTACATTATTCGGACTGTTATCCTCATCTTCATTGCTATATTCACAGCTTTTTGCCCTTCTTCAGGTGATTGGAATTTCGACCCGAACCCTTTATTTCGTCCGGAAGAGGCAAGGTACGTGGAACTAGAACAAGCTACCCCGGTGGACGAAATAAAGGGTTCGGTTCAAAATTCCAGTCACCTGAAGTAAGCTGGAGCGTACAACAGCCAAAACGTTGTGAATATGGCAATAAAGATAAGGATTAGAGTCCGAATAGATATAGGGAAATATTGAAGAAAAAATCCTATCACCTGAAGAAGGCCGGAGCGTATAAAGACCGAATCGTTGTGAATATATTATTGAAAATGAGGATAACGGTCCGAATAATGTAAATAATGCAAGTAATCATAATACCTCATCTCAGAGATCCAATCATCTGAAGAAGGCCTGGGCGTACAACGGCCGAAACGTTGTGAATATGGCAATAAAGTTGAGGATAACAGTTCGAATAATGCAAGTTATGAATGTTTTCTCAATATATTTCTTTTCTTCATTTTGGTATTCAGGTCTAGATATTCTAAGGTCCATGAGAGTAGAATTCTATGATTAATTCAGATTTTATTCTTTGATTGTGGCGGGAAGAGAAATTAATTAGATCGTTTTTGTCAATGGGTTTACGATAAACTTTAAAATCTCATTTCTTATTGTTACATAATAATAGGATGTCGAGAAAAGTTTGAGATTTGTTTATTTCAAATTTCAAAGCCTAATTTTAGATTTCTATGATTTTCACTTTCTCTTGCATACATAAATGGCAATTTCTGCTTCTACGTCATCCCATCTTTTTACCATTCTTACTACTGGCATTTTCTCTTCCATTTTTGTTCACACTCATATTTTGACAACATATTTTCATATCGGAATGATATTTTTTAACAGTTGCTTCAGTGTAAACCTGGGCGTCCATTTTTGTCATCATCGCATTAAACATATTTTTCTCTTTTTTAAATTTCTACAGTTATATTTTTGTTACTTTTTTTTTGCTATTTAGTATTTTGTTATGCTTTCATATTTATTCAATGTTATCCCTATAATAATAACAATTTTCATGGCGTTTCTATTAAATATTTAAGGTGTTTCTATTACATATTTAAGGTGTTTCTTTTAAATATTTAAGGTGTTTCTATTAAATATTTAAGGTGTTTCTTTTAAATATTTAAGGTGTTTCTATCAAATATTTAAGGTGTTTCTTTTAAATATTTAAGGTGTTTCTATCAAATATTTAAGGTGTTTCTATTACATATTTAAGGTGTTTCTTTTAAATATTTAAGGTGTTTCTATTAAATATTTAAGGTGTTTCTTTTAAATATTTAAGGTGTTTCTATCAAATATTTAAGGTGTTTCTTTTAAATATTTAAGGTGTTTCTATTAAATATTTAAGATGTTTCTTTTAAATATTTAAGGTGTTTCTTTTAAATATTTAAGGTGTTTCTATTAAATATTTAACGTGTTTCTTTTAAATATTTAACGTATTTCTATTAATTTTTTTTCCTTAATTTGTGCAATTTAGAGATAAGTTTATCTCTAAGTTTATATATTTCCCATATAATCAACGTTCTTATTATATTGTGGATTAAACCGTATAATTTCCTTTTTCTATTTTCTTTTCGGGTTTAATTATTGTATATTTCCCTTTGAATCGACCATTGTTTCACGCTGTTTCATTATTCCTTTACATCATTAAATGTTCTTTCATCTGAACTATTACTTATAATTCTTTGTTTAATTTTATGATATATCTCTAATCAAGGATGGTTTGTTTTGTTTTGTTTTACAGCATATCAACCTCAATGGCTTATTTAATGCTGACAAAATTTTTTATTGCTGCTAATATTTTGTTTTGTTAAAAATGTATCACTGGTAATAATATTTTTTTTTCAAGAATGTATTGCTGGTAATATTTCTTTTGAAAAATGTATCACTGGTAATAATATTTTTTTTTCAAGAATGTATTGCTGGTAATATTTCTTTTGAAAAATGTATCACTGGTAATAATATTTTTTTTTCAAGAATGTATTGCTGGTAATATTTTTTTTTTATTGCTGGTAATATTTCTTTTGAAAAAATGTATCACTGGTAATAATATTTTTTTTTTCAAGAATGTATTGCTGGTAATATTTCTTTTTGAAAAATGTATCACTGGTAATAATATTTTTTTTTTCAAGAATGTATTGCTGGTAATATTTCTTTTTGAAAAATGTATCACTGGTAATAATATTTTTTTTTCAAGAATGTATTGCTGGTAATATTTCTTTTGAAAAATGTATCACTGGTAATAATTTTTTTTTTTTCAAAAATGTATTGCTGGTAATAATTTTTTTCAAAAACGTATTGCTGGTAATATTTTTGTTCAAAAATGTATCCCTGGTAATCATATTTTTTTTTTCAAAAATGTATTCCTGGTAATATTTTTTTCTTCAAAAATTTATTGCTGGTAATAATTTTTTACAAAGTATTTCTGGTATTAAAAACTATTTTTACACTTTCATAATGTTTTGACCCCAATTTGGGGGTTAACTATTTACCCATAGCTGGGACCCTAACAGGTGCTACCACCCCGGGTTAAGATAGACCTGGGAACATCAGCAATTAAGAAATGGTTCCACACTCCTCAAAACCTCCTGATCAGAGGCCTGGCTGTTGGATGCAGTTTTTCGTCTTACCCAGAACGCGGATGTAGTTTATTATCATACCCAGGACAGCTAATCAAATATGGACGATGATTCATAGTGCACTGGGGCAACAGATATTCATTTAAACATATACAATGTAACCCGGATATAAGAGACCCGGATATAAGAGAAACCATAATATAAGAGAGATTTTCTCTTGTCCCAAAGTGTTCCCATACTTACCGAAACGAAATAGACCAAACTCGGATATAAGAGAAACCCGGATATAAGAGACTTCTTCTCCGGTCCCGACAACTCTCTTATATCCGGGTTACACTGTACTGTTAAAAATGACAAACTATGAATGTCGAGTATGTCTGATCATGAGCCATTCTAATATTTGTTTGTTTGTTTTAATTTCGGGTGAAAATCAAAACAAAAATTGTCCAACATTTGGATATTTTTTTTATTAAGCTGGTCCTTGGTCTAAGCTTTCGGCTCGCCTGAGCCATCTTCAGGAGTGGTTATGCAGACATTTAAACAAAGATATTCGCCATCAAAGATGATATTCTGTTATGTTGACATAGAAGATTGCTATGCGACGATAACGGTCGCAGAATAGCAGACGCAGGTCAT